AAATAAAATTAAAATAAAATGTAAAAAATAAATAAATTTTTAAAAACTTTAAAAAGACAAAAAATTTTAAAGAAGAAATAAAAGATTAAAAAGAAAAATGTCAAGTTTGAAGGGAAATTTAGGTCAGAAAGAAATTCCAACTTACAGGAAGGATTGAAGAGAACTAAAAATAGTAAATGTGTAAATAGTTATTACAGAAAACTCAATTTTCATTCTCTTTATTTAACAGATATATAATTGTTAGAAGCAGAAATTATAGCCTGATATTATGAAATTTATAAAGCATATGATTAAAGCTTTATACTTAATACAAAGAGTGGAGAGATTATTATAAAGTTTGATATAAAATGACAGAATGATAAGGTTATAAATAAATATTCCTACAGCAAATACTATAAAATAATGCACAGAGGCTGACCAAAAGTGTCAAAAGAGAAAACTGATTTTTAAAGTTTAACTCACAGGCTGGAGAGATGGCTCAGAGGTTAAGAGCACTGGCTGCTCTTCCAGAGGTCTTGAGTTCAATTCCCAGAAACCACATGGTGGTTCACAACCATATTAATCAGATCTGGTGCCCTTTCCTTGACTGTAGGCATACAAGCAGACAGAATACTGTATACATAATAAATAAATCTTTAAAAAAAATAAAGTTTAACTCACAAGAAGACAGGGAAGGAGTAACAGTGGAACAAGAGATGCATACGGCAAACAGAATGCAGACAGGAAAACTGGTAGAGTAGACTTAACTACATCAGCAGTTACATTAAATATAAACAGATTAAACAGTCCATTTAAAGGGCAGAGTTTATCAGATGGTGTAGCAGGAGCACTCTCCAATATAACAACAGGCTGAAAACAAAAGGCAGGACAAAGACATCCCACACCATCGTTAGGAAGCTGAAGTGGTGATGTCAGTATCAGTTCAATCATTTTACATCAGGGAGTAGCTGCCGATGATGAGCATGCCATGACGACCAATCTACCAAAAAGCACAGCAGTTGTGCACATGCATGTCTCCCTGCCGCTTTAATGTGAAAATAACCCCCCCAAAAAACTAAAATGAGAAACTGACAAAATCTACAACGATGCTATATTTCTTTGTTTCTTTTCTGTTGCTGTGCTAAAATACCCTGATAAAAGCAACCTAAAGAAGAAAGGTTAACTTTGACCCACAGTTCAAGGTGCATCACAACAGGGAAACCAAGACAAGAGGGTTTGGGGCAGCTGCTCACACGGCATCTGAGGTCAGGATGCAAAAGTGATGAATGCATGGTGTTGCTCAGCCCCCTTTCTCCAGGACCTCAGCCAGGGGGATGGTGCCACCCACAGTGGGCAGGTCTTCCCACCTCAACCCATGTGATCAAGACTGCCCTTCACAGTCATGCCCAGAAGGCTGTCTTCTGGACGATTTTAGATTTTTTTTTAAATTTCTTGACAATTAATACTAACCATTATAAAACCCTTCTCAGAAGTGATGAAACAGACTAAAGATAAGCTAACATACAGAAGATCTGAATGAACCACAAATATTCATCCAGTTGTTACTTACAGACTCTTATACTGTATGACCGCACTAGATTATTTGTACATATGTCCAGAACACTCTTATCCTTACTTAGTAACCTTATATTTTTTAAATTGAAATCTTTTAGACTATGTTTTCTGGCAGTAATAGTTAAATTGAATTTTTATATGCTACTAATAAACAATCAGAAGTTTAAATGTGAATGTTGAATTTTAGAATTGTTGAAAATTCTTCACACAATCTATTACTTTATATAAAATATATTTAATTATTTGTCTAGCTAATTACCAAAAGTATTTTTAACTATTCCACATTGATTGTTTGCATATTGTGCTATATTATACACTTTCTTATCTTGAAATTATTTTTTAAAAAAGCTTTTGGAAGAGGAGTTGGCGCCATAGGTTTTGTGTGCTCTGCCGGTGCTGCGGCAGGGAGCTGAGCAGAAATCATGGGCGAATTTCAGCACCAGGGCACGGCAGAGATCCAGTTGAGGGTTGATTGTGTGAAGATGTGAGGATGACGACTGGCTGCCTTTTGAGACGACATGATGTTGAAGTATGGGAAATATTAGAAGACAGTGAGCTATGATAATGTGCATGTAGACTTCACTCTGGAAGAGTGGGCTTTGCTGGGTCCTTCCCAGAAGAATCTATACAAAGATGTGATGCTGGAGACCTACAGGAACCTCACTGCTGGAGGCTACAAATGGGAAGACAAATATACTGAAGAACACTGTCAAAGCTCTAGAAGACATGGAAGACATGGAAGAAATCAAAGAGAAACTATCTGAAAATACTCAAGGTGTTAAAACTTTTCCATATCACAGTCATCTTCAAATAATAAAAGAATACATGCTGGAGAGAAACCCTATGAATGTAATCAGTGTGGTAAAGCCATGCATATTACAGTCATCACCAAAGACATAAAAGAACACATACTGGAGAGAAACCTTTTGAATGTAATCAATGTGGTAAAGCCTCTGCCCATCAGAATAATCTACAAAAACATAAAGGAACACATACTGGAGAGAAAACTTTTGAATGTAACCAGTGTGGAAAAGCCTTGACATGTCACAGTCGTCTCAAAATACATAAAAGTATTCATTCTGGAGAGAACCCTCATGAATGTAAGCAGCGTGGTAAAGCCTTTACATGTCATAGTCATCTTCTAATACATCAAAGAAAACATACCGGGAGAAACCCTATGAATGTCCTGTGTGGTAAAGCAATTGCATGTGATAGTAGTCTCAAAATACACAAACACATTCTGGAGAAAAACCCTATGAATGCCATCAGTGTGATAAAGTCTTCTCACAACAAGATTATCTCCAAAATGATAAAAGAACACATACTGGAGAGAAACCCTACGGTTGTAACGAATGTAGTAAATCTTTAGCATATCACACTAGTCTCAAAGCACATGAGAGAACTCATGCTGGAGAGAAACCTTACAAATGTAATCAGTGTGAGAAAACCTCTGCATATTACAGTTATCACCAAAGACATAAAAGAACTCATACTGAAGAAAAACTTTGAGTGTAATTAATGTGGTAAAATCTTTCCATGTCATACTCATCTTCAACAACTTAAAAGGACACATTGTGGAGAGAAACCAACAAATGTAGTCAATGTGATAAAGCCTTTTAACAACACAGTCATCTTCAACCTCATAAAAGAACACACTGGAGAGAAACCTACAAATGTAGTCAATGTGATAAAACCTTTTCACAACACGCTCGTCTTCAGTCTCATTAAAGAACACACACTGGAGAGAAGCCCTACGGATGCAGGCGATGTGGTGAAGCCCTTACCCAGCACAGTCGTGTTCACATGCTTGGAAGAACTCGTACTGGCTGGAAACTGTATGAATACAATCACTGTGACAAAGAATAAAGAACTCATATTCACACTGGAGAGGAACCTTATGCACGTAAGCAGTGTGGTAAAGCCTTTGCATGTATCAGTAGTCTTCAAAAATAATAAGAAAAAAATCAAACTGCAGAGAAACCCTATAAATTTAGTCAGTGTTGCAGAGTTGTGCAATTCATGATAGCCTTTATACAAGAGTGAACTTTTCCTTTTAAAGCCCGTACATATTACATAAATCTTTGGGGATTGGAAGAATGCATACTAAAGCATATTGGCTGTAAAGGATTTGGTAAGACCTTTAGCCACATAGATACATTCCATCACATAAGGTTGTTTTTTTTTCTGGAGAAAAAACCTGGAAAGTATCAGCAATTTGTTCAAATTTTGTGATTTTTTTAAAATTTTGTTTGTACATTTTTGCACACTTAATAGACAGTCTATGAATTTAAATTATAAAGCAATTCTTTTAGATTTCATACTTCTTTTTGATCACAGGAAACAAGAAATCCATGAACGAAACTTTTTGGACATGTACTAGTGCATTTTCTGTTGTGGTAATGAAACAATGTCTCAGTCAGCTTACACAAGGGTTTAATTTCTCCCTTGGTCCAGAGAGATACAGGTTCACCATGAAAGTGACTTGGCACCAACTGTCAGACATAGAAGGTAAAGCAAGAAGCTACACCCTTACAGCCTCAGCCTGCACCTTGAAGTAGAGAGTAGACACTGGAAAGGGTGTATGGATGGAAACTCAGGCCCATACCTAGTGACATATTTCTTCAGCAGGATAGCATTTTCTCAATGTTCCCAAATGGTAACACCAACTGAGAAGGACTGATTTCTCTGACTTCAAGCCTACATGATAGCTTTTTTTTATATTTATTTATTTATTATGAATACAATATTCTGTCTGCGTGTATGCCTGCAGGCCAGAAGAGGGCACCAGATCTCATTGCTGATGGTTGTGAGCCACCATGTGGTTGCTGGGAATTGAACTCAGGACCTTTGGAAGAGCAGGCAGTGCTCGTAACCACTGAGCCATCTCTCCAGCCCTAGCTTTTTTTTTTCATGATGAAGAAAAATTCTGCAAGCCTTTAACTATCTCAGTTCCTGTGTTACAGGAAGACTGCTTACAATAGAAAAACATTCATGAGAGGAAATTTGTGTAAAGATTTATTTAAATTTTAATAATGCAATATCAGTGTGTCTTGGTGTGGGTATGTCCATGTGCATTCTGTTTCCTAAGAAGGTTGGATCTTTATCTTTTAGCATGAATTACAAGAAGATATCAGAATTCTGATTTTGGTCCTTGGAATGAACTTGTATTAATTGCTCAGCCATGCCTCTAGTCCTTTAAGTATCTTGATTTCAGGAACTAGGAAGTACTCATACAAGATGAAAACCCTATTTGTGTAAATGATGTTGTAAAGAACTTAGATATCACAGTTTCTACAGGTTAAGAAAATAAACCTTATTTCATCTATTTTCATCATAGCCCTGAAAAAAAGCAAATTACATATCTTGTTGACTCAAGATTGATGATGGAGATCCCTGGTAACATATCAGCAGGTCAGACAGTCAGCAATCAACTGTGTATGTTACAATATAGCTCAACATGCTTTAAAGCTTTTCACAAAACAAAAAATTTAAACTGGATGTCAATAACAATAAGAAATCTAGAAAAGCCCACAGATAGCTGGAGATTAAACAGTGCAGCAGTCAAAGAAGCAATCAGAGAGACAATTATAAAATCTTTGAGGCTGAGTGATGAGGTCAGTACAACATTTAAAATATGAGAGAAGCCACTAAAAGTCAGCTCGGGACCTTCAGCCTTGGATTGTGAGGAAAGACACTGACCTGTTCCCCCTGTGAGGAGGTAGCCCTGACACACTGTTACAGATGGTGGTCTAATTTAGGATCTTTTGGCAGTAAAATGCTGCCAAAGTGAAGGACTTCAGTGGAAATCACACTTTGAGTCTGGAACTTTGCCTGGTGTGGAGATTTGAAAGAAAATGGCCCCTAAAGGAAGCGGCACTGTTAGGAGGTGTGGCCTTGTTGGAGTAGGTGTGGTTTTGTTGGAGGAAGTGTGTCACTGTGGAGGTGGACTTTGAGGTCTCATATATGCTCAAGATACCACCCAATGTCTCAGCTCACTTCCTGTTGCCTTTGGATCAGGATGTAAGAACTTTCAGCTCAAGCGCCATGTCTGCCCACAGGCTGACTTGCTTCCTGCCATGATGATAATGGACTGAAAGCCACCCCAATTAAATGTTTTCCTTTCTAAGAGTTGCTGTGGTCATGGTATCTCTTCACAGCAACAGAAACCCTAACTAAGAAACCTGGCTAACAGCATTAGAGGTAGAGCATTCAGCAATGAGTCATAGCTCCAGATGGTCCCATGCTCGTGAGGGTGGACTTTTCTGCCGAAAGTTTTGGGTATAGATAACCAATAGCTTATAGGACATGCTCTACCTCTTTCCTACAAAACAGACTTTGTGGTAGACAAACTTGACCAACTGGAGACTAATGTCCTTTAAGCATGTATAAAGGAGGCTGAGCTAATTCCTGGTGTCCAGTAGAGCAAGTTTATTAGATAGATGATAGATAGACAGACAGACAGATAGACTCACTGTATAGTCCAGGTCGTTCTTGAGCTTATATAGTTCAGGCTGTCCTCAAACTCTCAGTCCTCCTGCCTCTACCTTCTGTGTACTGAGATTACAAGTGAGTATCTACACCCATGTCAGTCCCATAAATATATTTGTCTTATTTATTTTGGTATGTGTGTGTGTGAACTTGTTCATGTGTATGTGCACATGCGTGTTGAGGCCAGAGGCTGGCAACAGGTACTTTCCTCAATCTTTCTCTACACTTATTTTTTTTTTGAGACAGGGTTTCTCACAGAGCCTGGTGCTTACCAGTTTCGCTAGACTGGCTGAACTTCAGGGATCCATCTATGTCTGCATGTCCCATGCCAGAGCAGGGCTTGGATTACAGACATGAGGAACAGTGCCTGGCTTGTACGGGGTGGACGCTGAGAATCTGAACTCAGCACTTTACCAAATAAGCTGTCTTCCCAGACCCCTCAAATGTTATCTATTTCAAAATTAGTTTTTGAGATCAAGGCCTTGCTTGTAGCCAAATCTAGCTCTAAACCAGTGATGCTCTAGCCCCAGGCTCCCAAGTGCTGGGATTACAGACATGTGCCACCACACACAGTGATCTACTACAGTTTCCGTTTATGAAGGGTTTATTTTACATAATCCCACAAGACGTCCAGATGCCCCTGCCCAGGGCACCACACTCCATGGATTCTTGATTCTAGGAAGGAAATATAAGATGTGAATCCACAGGAGGTTGTAGTTAAAAGAAAAAGAAATCTCACAAATTAGTCAGATACTAGGAACCAACTCAAAGAAACAGAAATGCTTAAAGCTGGAGTGATGCAGCAATAAAGTCAATGAGGTCTCTTGGTTTAAAATGAGAGCAAAGTGACATCCTTGGATCTACATGGATACAATTGGTGATGTGATAAGTTAGGAGAGAGAGGGAGGGAGGGAGGGAGGGATGGAGGGATGGAGGGAGGGGTGTGGAGGGCACAACCTGATACCTTGCCAAATGCACTTTGGGAAATGAGCCCTGGGGTTAGCAAGTACTGGCTACTGGTGACTGACACTCTTTTCTCCTTATGCCATGACATGATTAATCAGTTTCGTCCACCTGGCCTCTGTCCACCACCATACGCAACAACTACAGAAGGGGCAGCTCCTTGTTGTCCCCTGGTACGTATATCAAACAGACTAGACTGACAACCAGCACAGGCCGTCCTAGCCCAGCAGCTAAGGAGCATTCCAAAGGCCTGGAATTCTGCAGGCTGTGCTTCCTCAGTGAAGGGGAATAAAGTGGTAAAGCTGTATGAACGGTCGCAGTGAGCTCTCCAGAATGTTTGCAAAGGAACCAGCATGTTGCAAAGTAGTCTGTGGGTGCGAGAAGACGTCCTGCCATAGTGACAGGAAAATGTTTTGAGTGAGAAGATAATGAGAACCATGAGATGCATATAAGGGCAAAATGACAATGGAAAATTAGAGTCATTAAAAGAACAAATCATCAATATGCAGATTGTCTAGCTGACTGTGAGGTCCTGGTGATTGACACAAGCCTCTCATATACCAGGACTCAGCTAAGACCTTTATGCTTGCAATCTAGTTCAGTCTGTAACAACTTCAGTTAAATGAACACATTCATTGAAAATATAACTTGACACATGAAAGGAAGTTAAAATGTGGCAGTGTGGTGTGCATTGGAAAATAGAACCTGCATTTTAAAGTAAAATCTTCTTGCACAGAGAGGTCCATGGCCAGCTAGCTGTGCTGGGAGTTTTCAGCGCTAATCTTGCATAAATTCTTTCAGAAAGTAGAGAAAGAGGAAACAGCTCTGAACCCATTTTGCAAGGCCAGCTACCCCTTATGACAAAATATGACTCTTTATTATTATATTTTAGAGAAAAGGAAAATTACAGTTCCATATCTCTCATAAATATAAATACAAAAATCATAGGTAAAATAATTTCAAATCAAATATGAAAAAGAGGATAACATGTTATGACCAAATGTGACTGATTAAAAATATCTGTGTATGTGTGTTTGCTTGCTTATCTGCGTGTACACCTGTACTTGTGGGTATCCAAGGCCAGAAAAGGTCATCAATTACAAGTGACTGCGACCTGCCCAATGTGGCTGCTGAGAACTAATCCAGGTCCTCTACAAGCACAGCTAACATCTGAGCCATATTTACAGTCCTATCAAATTTTGTTTAGATTATTTTAACAATCTTTTGATGCAATTCACTACATTAACATAACAGGGGAGAAACATACATAACAAACTCATGAGACACAGAAACATCACGAGCCAAAAATTCAACATTTATTCATTCACCAGCACACAGGAACAAAAGAAACTTCCCCCATCTACTCACAGATGTCTAGAGAAGCCTTTGGAGAACATATTTTAAAGTTTGAATAGCAAATGCTCTCTCCCTGGAGTTAAGGGAATACAAAGCTACTATCAGTACTTCTGTTCAGCATTGTACTGAGAATTGCAGCCAGTGAAACAGAGATTTTAAAAAAGCATACGGTTCAAAAGAAAAGCATAAAACCACTACCAGGTCACACATGGCATGATGGTGCATACAGGAACTCCAAAATGATCTAAAACCACTTAGAATTAAAAAGCAAACTCTAAGGTGTTGTTTAAACAAGGTGACTTCCAAATCAATTATATTTCTATAATCAAGCAAAACAAATGGGAAGGACTTTCATTTGTAATTGAATTGTTAAAATTAAATGCTTAAGAATAAATGGTAATATGTACACACCGGATACTATGAATATTACTAAGTAAAAATTATATGTTTATCAATTGGAAGACTTGGTTTCTCGTGAACAAATCGAAGAGCTAATTCTAGAACATGTGCAGAAATGCAGAGATGTCAAATTGCCACACCCACTAGACAGTCATGCTGTTTCAAGCTACAGTGATGAAGGGCAGGCAGCTTTGGTTAGGAGAGTGATGAGTGGTGTCTTAGTTGGGCTTCCTTCCTTCCTTCCTTCCTTCCTTCCTTCCTTCCTTCCTTCTTTCCTTCCTTTCTCCCCTCCTTCCCTTCTTTCCTCCCACCCTCCTCTCCCTTTCTACCTCCCCCTTCCTTTCTTTCTTCTTTTCTCTTTCTTTCTTTCTTTCTTTCTTTCTTTCTTTCTTTCTTTCTTCCTTCCTTCCTTCCTTCCTTCCTTCCTTCCTTCCTTCCTTCCTTCCTTCCTTCCTTTCTTTCTTTCTTTCTTTCTTTCTTTCTTTCTCTTTCTGCGTTTTTGAGGCAGGGTTTCTCTGAGTAGCCCTGAGTAGTACAAAACTCCCTTTTGTAGTCCAGGATGACCTCAAATTCACATAGATCTACCTGCTTCTGTCTCCTGCATGCTGGGAATAAAGGTGTGCATCACCACACCCAGTTTAGAGTTTCTGCTGCTGTGATAAAACACCATGGCCAAAAGAAACCAGGGGAGAAAAGAATTTATTCCATCTTATACAGTGCCCCAACCCAGGGAAGTCAGGGTAGGAACTCAAGGCAGGAACTTGGAGGCAGGAACTGAAGCAGAGCCTGTGAAAGAACACTGTTGGTTTGCTCTACAGGGCTTGTTCAGCCTGCTTTCTTACACCATTCAGGACCACCAGGGCAGGGGTGGCACCACCCACAGAGAGCTGATTTCTCTACAGTAGACACCAATCAAGAAAACATGCTGTAAACTTGCCAACAGGCAAGTTATATGGAGGCATTTTCTCAATGTAAAATCCCTCCTCCCAAATGACTCTAGCTTGTGACAAGTTGACATAAAACCAGCCAGCACAGAGTAGGGTAGAATCCAAAAGACTCACACACATAGTTGATTGATACAACGGGAGGGGCACATCTACATAGTGGGTTGGTGCAATGGGAGGGGCGTGGCAGGCACCTGCATGGAGGTCAGAGGACCATCAGTCTGATTCTCCTGTCTCTGTTTTCCTTCTGGACACTGGAGTGCTGGGGTTACAGGTGCATGCCATCACCTTAGCCTTGGGGGCAGCGACTGTGGGCTCCAATAATCAAAAAGTGTTTTTACACACTAAGTCCTCTCCGTGGTCCTTTGACTTATTTTTTACAAAAAAAATTAGTGTGGAAACGATACCCTTTAAATATGTTCTAATACTCAGTTTTGATGGGATAGCTAATACCAATTATTCTAGAAAGCTGTTTAGAACTTAAAAATGAAGCTAACAAGGTATCTAGGCTACAATATGAGAAAGTCAATACGCATATATCTCTTGAAAACCATGTGTCAAATGCTCATAGTGTCTGTTTGGAGGTGGAGATAGGCACAGCTCCAATGTTTACAAGTGGTAAATGGATCACTGTGTGTTCATACAACGGAATATCATACAGCAATGAAAGAAACATGTCTGCTATTCTCAGAATGATGGCTGAATCACACACATGGCAATGAGCAGAGGGAGCAAATGTAGAAGTTTATGGATGTATGGTTTCTTATAGGAAATTCAAGATGGGCTGGAGAAGAGGCTCCTCCTGGGGTCCTGGCCCGGTGAAGTGCAAGTCCAGAGCCTGGAACTGCTCTGTTCCTAGTTCAGCGATGACCACATCGATGTGTTTAGACTCTGAGAATTAGACATTATTTTCTAGTGAGCATAGTCTAAACTCCTGATAAGAACGACTGGAGGGGAGGCTTCCTTTTGGCTGGCAGTTTGAGGGCGTGCAGCCCATGGTGGAGGGAGTACTGGAGGTCAGGCGCCAGCTCCTCCTGTGGCTGTGGAAATGTGAGGCCTCTTATCACATCTCAGCAGATCGGGAAGCTGGAGGAGTGCTCTGCCCAGCCGGCATCTTCCTTTCCCTCTTCTTATGCAGTCCAGTACCCATCCCACTGGACAGTGTCACCCACATTCACTAGGCCTGGCTGGAAACCCAAAGGTGTGTCTCAGCATCGCCTAAAGTATTTCTTAATCGAATCAAGGTCGCAGAGTTTACCATTCCGTCACCACAAATGGCATGCTCACAGAGCGAGCTGGTGACAGCAACTTGCACGCTCAGACTCTGCTGACATCACCATAGATCAATGAGAAGTTCTCGAGAGAAACGTAAAGAAAAAGGCACAGATTATTTCCCCAGTAATTTCATTCCTAGGAAATTCTCCCTCAAAGCAAATAATGATGTTATCGTGCCAGTATTTATAATGGCAAAAATGGCAGCCTCCAAACACGTCACAACACGCTGTGCAGAGCGCAGCCATTTGAAATCTTAGAGATAAAAGGTGCTCTTAAAGAGACTTGTAAAGACGTCCACAGTGTGTTGTGAAACGAACGGGCACGCGCAAAATGACCCAGGCCACGCTGGCCTGCAACCTTAGAATGCTTTTATGGCAAATCACGAGAAGTGGAATAAAGGTGGCACTGATGCCCAGGGCAGCTCCTCTCCAAGCACAGGGGCCTAGGAGAAGGAGGGGCAGTCCCCATGCACTCGTTGTGGGAGCCTCTCTGTGGGGCCCGAGTGAGAGAAAGCGAGAGACTCCAGACTTTTAAAGCATGGGAATTGTAAAAAGCTACGGGGACTTTGAACGTTGGACTGGATGCATTTTGAATTATTACAATACCATGAGATGTTGAGAACAAGGTGTAGAAAGTCATGGCTTAAAAGTGATGTGTTTGGGTATCAAGTTGACAAGGAGCTGTGATGTGTTAATTGTCAATTTGACAGAATCCAGACTCACCTGGAAGTGGGCTTCGGGCATGCTTGTGGACTATCATCTTGCTGTATTAGTTGGTGTGGGGAGACCCCTCTAGATTACTGGTGAGGTCATTCCTTGACAAGGAATCCTGGACTGTATAAAACCATGAAAGCAAGCTGAGCTCTAGTGTGTTCATGCCCCTCTTCCTCTGACTGTGGATTGAAGGTGGTCCACCACCTCGAGCTCCTGTTGCTCTGACCTCCAGCCTCAGTGAATTAGACCTTAAATCTCGAGCTAAAATAAGCCCTTTCTCCTGTAAGTCACTTCTTTCAGAACTCACAGGCGCCGTGGCAGCTAGGTGAGCTTGTGCAAACACACATCACAGACTCAGTGGTTTCTCATGTTCTTCAAGCAAATCTAAGTGGAAAAGTTGGGTTTGGATCCTGCTGCTACCTTCATTATCTTCGCTGCTTCCCCCCTAGTGCAGTCTGTCCTACCTCAGTGTCTTTGCAGAGGTTGTGTCCCCTGCAGAGGACCCTGCCATTTTGCTCTTGGCGAGACTGCCTCTTCTACCTAGCACAACCTGCTAAAAGCAGTGCTTCCTCAAAGACACTCTCCAGTACCCTGGTCCTCCCACCCCACCCTAGTCTCCTACCTGAACCCTGTTGCCTCTCCTGGCACATGACCTGAATCCAGTGAGGACAGTGGCTCCTCCAGAGGGACAGGGCTGCCTCCTGCCATTTCTCAGTGGGATGGACCATTAGGGGACACCTGTGTTGTTGGGGGGGGGGTGTTGTACTCCTAGGGAGTTGACAGGAGAGGGGTTAGCTGTTTCAGTAAGTACAAAATAGCACTGATGACCTGACCCTGACTGTTTGATCTTAGCCTTTGTCGGCAGCTGTGTGAGCAATCCCTTGGTCTTAAGCCAGCCCCTTCAGAGAGAGGTCCCTCAGCTGTTGGGCAAGCGGGAAGATCAGAATGGAGCCACGCCTGGCCTGGCTGAGAACAGGCCCCTGGGATCCAGGCCACTTCGGCAGCTCCTCCAATGTGGGCTCATTTGAATGATTTATTTCTTTCAAAGGGAGACAGAGAAAACAAGGCTGAGCCAGTAGGATTAGAAGTGGGAAGCAGGAACGAGAAGGAAGCAACTGCCAATGCGGTTGGGAATGAGGACGGAATTTGGCTCTGAGCTTCCTGGCAGCCCATGTGAAAAGGGAAGCCCGATCAGTTACAGAGTTCCTCTCATTAGCAAGGAAGACGCTTGCGTGTTCCTCCTGAGAGATGTAATTTGTTCCAGTTTTAGTTTTTCCAGGCAATAAATCCTGAATGAAATTTCTCCCTCGAGGTTGTTGACGATATGGCTAATTGATGGGATAAATAATATGCTTGTCTTACCCTAAGTGTGGAAATGACTCTCTAGAGACCTGGGAGCCACCTACCACATAGTTCACTGGGTATGGATATTGTTTGGGAATCCTTACTTATTTGTTATTATTATTAGTGGTTTTTATTTATTGAATTCGTATAGCATTTTCAGGTAGGGTCTCTCCCTGTAGCCCTCGTTGTCCTGGACAGGCATCCTTATTATTAACGGATCTCACATTGACTTTCCCTCTGATGAGCTAAAATCTACTCATAAATCACATCTTGACATCTTCATGGGGACATTTTTGCAAGGAGAGGGGAGGCAAGAACCTGGCTTCCTCTCACAAGACACTGGCGAACTCTTTGTGTGCAACAGTTACAAAATAGAAGAAAACAAAGGAAATCCTTGGTCACATTGTGGGAAAGAGTGACTAAGGAGAAGTGGAGAAGACACTATTCAATGGAGGGAGGACATTTCAAGTCCCGCTTGGCTCCCCCTGCCTCTAACTAGCTTTATGATTTCAGGCAGGTTGGACCTCTCTGAGCATGTTTCCCTGATGCCTCAGATGACTGAGAAGGCAAAGGGCTGCCCTGTGCCCTATTCATTTCAGCTCCTGTCCCTGAGGGAAACCCCCCCCCCCCCATCTCCAGCGAGCACTCTCGCACTGCATTTCTGCGATTCAGGCCCAGTTTACCCACAGAGGGAAGCTTGAGGCAAGGGGCTGGTCTTACATTGACCATTTGTCTGTAGGGGGTCCTATAAACCCTGTCCAACGGTTCTGATCAGAGAAAACCAGTCTCCAAAGATTGTTGAGTCTCTAAAGGGCCTTCTGGTGTGTGGCCACACCCTTTCTTTCCCTCTGTCTCTGTCTAAGCATCTTCATCCCATCTACTCTGCACCAGGCACTCACTAGTCAAACCCAGAGCACAAGGACATCTCAGGGTCATCACTTTGCCCTCCAGGCATGCCGTCCTGTGGGTTCCTGGCCCCGCCTTTGATGTTGTTTCATGTATGGGTTCTTCCCCACACAAGAGACAAGTGGCTAATTCCTCCACCATGTGTTAGTTGGGGCATGAACATTAGGTAGGATTACAGACCTCTGGCTGGGCTGGAGCCTCACTGGAAAACACTGTTCCTGGTCCCAATTATTACCTGCAATACTCAGAGCTTCAGAAAGCTACACTTGTTGACTGTCAAACAGCATAGCAGCTAGATACTTCTGTAGTATTATAGCCGGTTCTGGACTCTTTATATACACCCTCAGGGCTCACACTAGAGCTGGCAGCTGGACCTTACAGCTTTGCAAGATGAGGAAAGAGTCAAAGCTGTAGACACTCAAGGTCATAATGCAATTGACAGATGAGGGATTCCAAGCATCTGTGCTATCAAGGTCAAGAGAAATAAACGGTCACGTTCCCTCCTCTGCTGGTCCCCATCAGGTGTCCAGGAACTCACCACAGGAGTAGGCGTCCATTGGACACCCCTCTGGGATTGCCCTGGTAAAAGCTTCTTGGGACTGTCTGGACCTTCAGGACAACCTGACACTGGGCAGGTCTTCTAAGCCCTTTTACTGAGGTAGAATCCTTTTTGACAAAGTCCAGCCTGAGGTGAACCCTCTTATATGCCTCCCACCCCACTCAGCCTTCCCTTGTGGTGGGGGCAGTACAAAAAAGGGACTGCTTGGAGTACGGCTGTCCTGGTTCCCCATCTTCTTCAAAAGATCCCAGCCTCACTACATCCCTTCAATATTTCTTCTTGTTGAGCCCCATTTCACAGACGGAGAAAATGAGGCACCGGGCAAAGAAGGGCTTCTTAAAAATCTTTTCCAAACCAGCTAGGAAGCAGCCACTCCCAGTTTTCTATTCTGTCTCGGTACTGTACTTTGATCTGAGCAGCAAGCGAGGTTCACCCTTTACGTATGCAGCCCCACATACTTTTTTCCTCATGCCCCAGGGCCCTTCTTGGTGTTCAGTGGGACACACATCACCCAACTTCGGTTGGTACTTCCAAACTGCCGAGCACCCAAAGGGTTAAAGGGGCCGGGAAGGGGACCCAGTAAGGGTTAAAATTATAAACGCATCTATCACCCTCTGACTATTTATTGGGTTCCAGACCGACAGCATCGAAGCTGGGCAGAGCCAGTGGGCACCCTCGGATGGACTTGCGCAAACGCCACAACTTTCCAGCACGACCCCCCGAAAGTATCCCGGGCGCAAAGTTGGCGCAGCCCGCTCCTCCTCCGCAGCGTCGCCCTCCCCGTGGGGCGCGCGGCGGGGACGCGCGAGCTCCCGCGCGGGGCCGGCTCGGGGGACGCGGGGCTCGGCGAGGCCCGGCTCCGGCCCCCTGAATTGGGGGGTCCGCGTCTGCCCCAAACGCCGCTTTCTTCCGTTTTCCATGTCATTTCCTGTACTAATAAGATGGTGGTCAAAGCAGGGGAGGAGAGCAGCAGCGAGTCGCCGCCGTGCTGCTGCCGGCGCTGAAACTTTGCCCGGCCGGGGACCCCGCGCGCGGCCGCCCTGTCCCGCCGCGCCCCGCCGCCCCGGCCCCGGCCCGGCCCGCCGCCCCGCGTGGGAGCCCGCGAAGGTGAGTGGGCCCGGTGGCCACCGTGGCCATGAACGCGAACATGGCTTCGGAAGGCTCTGGGCGGCTCGCCAACCAGCGTGGGGACCGCGGCGACGCGCGCGCGGGGACACTGGGCAGCGGGGCGCGTGCGGACGGCGGGGCACGGGCCGTAGCACCGGCAGCGGGGCGGGCCCCGAGGTGGCCCGGGCCCGCAGGTTGCCGCGGCCGCCCGCCGCGGGCCTCGGGCGGCCCAGCCTCCGCCTCCTTCCTCCGCGCACTCGCCCGCCTTGTTCCACTGTAGCCTTTTCCTCGGCTCCGCCGCGCGCTGACGGACGCGGCCGCCGGCCAATGGGAGCGGCCTCTCCGGCCCGGTGTTCGGAAAGAGAACGCGTAGACACGGGGCAGGGCGGGGCGAGGGCGGGATGAGGCCGCTGGCCTAGTTGCAGGGACCGGGTAGCCAGGGCTCCCGGACTGGGCTGGGGGCTTAGGGAGCGCGTTCTTCTCTGCCACCCGCTGCGGGCCTGGGGCGGCAGGGGAAGGGCGTGGCTTCCATCTATTTTAAGTCTTGGTTGCGGCGTCGACTCTTCGGGAAATCGTTCCTGAGTGTCGTCTCCACCGCCACCTCCCCATTCTCGGTCCCCAAGGTACTACGTGATGCAAAAACTGCAGAAACTTGGTGGCCAATGACCTTCCTCCGTCAAGGCCAATGTGCCCTAGGCAAGTCGCTGCAGGGACTACGGAGCAGCCTTGGGCGAGGACGGGGGAAAAAGTTGCTGGTGTCTTGAGCACACCAGAGAAGGAGCTCAGACCCTTAGGATGAGTGGCGACCTCGAGGAGGAAAGCCTCCTATTTTGTTTTATTTTCTGGCCATGGCTTCTTGGAGGATAGCTGTGGTCTGTAGTTTAGAGTGATCTAGAAAGAAGCACACCCAGTCCTTTGTGCTTAGGGACCGCGAGTGATGAAGGAAGATTGCCCTTCATCTTGGGGACGCTATAAACTTTGGGAGTTTTATCCACCCTGAAGCAGACTAATTTCCCACGAAGTGTGATGCCCGTGGCACCCCAGCTTGCCTTGCCCACTTGTCCCCTATAGAGGAAGGCTGGGACGTTTCTGGGTCTTGGTTTGGTAGTCCACGGTGTATGGGATGTATGGGTCAGAAGCCCCAGCTTGTTTGCCTCATCCCTGGGGAGTGGGAAGCTTCTGGGCACATATCCCAGGCCCCTTGTTTTCTTTAGTTTCATGGGAAGGGCATCTTCAGGATCCTTGCCACAGGGCATTGGACTCTGCAGGGGGACTCCCTACAGTGGGCTCGGTGCAGCCCTTCTAGGAGTCAGCCAGAAGAGCACTGAGATAGGAGCAGTCAAGTGATTGACCCAGGGTATGGTCCATGGTTTCAGAAGCGAGAGCTCTGACCTGGGCAATGCTCCGTGAACCATCTTGGGTATCACAATTGCTTGCCAGACTCCAGCCTGTTCCACCCAGCCCCTAAGTGGCGGTGCCCCCAAGGAGCAGCTGTTCTTAGGGGTCTCTTCTGAGTGTCCCTTCTCAGAGATGAGTTTCGTTTTTTCGTCCCAGGAACCCTTAGTCTGTCACCACAGTCATCACCCCCCCCCCCCCCCCCCCCCCCCCCCCCCCCCCCCCCCCGCCTGGGTTGCTGGAGTTTTCCAGTCCACATGTTTCTCAGATTGGTTCTCCGAGTTGGTCTGTCTGGTGAGCGTCTACCATCTGGCTAACTCTTCACTTAGATTCAACACCGGCTCAATCAGCAAATGTAAAAGAGGATCAGGCCTGTTTATTAAGTTGCCCCGAGGTCTCTCCCTTGAGGGTCTTAACGTATTCATAACTTTGCTCCACTGCTGATATCACTCAAGGGTGCAGAATGTCACAGGTCCTTATGGGAAACACGCTAGTGTCTGCTTCCCTTAGCCAGTTCACCCATCTCCAGGCCCGGGAAGCTCTCTTCAGTCAATCCATCCCGGCTTCCTCTCCCCACAACCCACAACACTTATAGAGCCCAAGAGAATGCACCTGCTCTTGCCCAGCCCCCACTGCAGTCAGGAGTGGTACAGTTAGGGCCACCACAGGCTCCTGCGCCCCCTTGAGTCTGCCCAGTACATTTCTGGTGAGGGACCA